GGTATTACTGCAATATGTGTATATATATATATATATATATATATATATATATATATATATATATATATATATATATATATATATATATATATATATATATATATATATATATATATATATATATATATACACACATATACGGTGAGTGTCCGCTCGAGGCGCTATTTTGAGTTGCCCTGCCACCCTGCCTGACTGCCTGTTTTAGCTCATAAAATTCATACAATTACCCGGCCAGAATATAATTTACATTGCTGGAATTCTTATAATTTGGTGATCATTTGAATATAAACATCATATTTTGCATTAGACATACAAATTTTAGATAAAATTTTTTTTCTTTAAATGCAAAATATGCATTAATATTCAATATTCCCTGTCTTACAAGGAATCAGCAATGTCAATTATATTATCCTAACTTTAGTTTGAGTATTTATTACAAAAGTTAAGTATTCTGGTTTCACATCTCCTTGGGACGGTTGGTGGGGGTGAGAGGAGGAAAGGACAACAAATCCATCTGTTACCCGTGAAGAATATTTTATTTTATTAACTGAAGATATTTGTTTTAGCTCATAAATTCACAAATTACCGGTCAGAATATAAATTATATTGCTGGAATTCTTATTTTGATGATCATTTGAATATAAACATCATATATTTTGCATTAGACATAAAATTTTTAGATAAAATGTTTAATCTGAGTAAGTATGTTATCTTTTGTGCAAAATATATGAGTTTATATTCAAAATATTCCTGGTCTTACAAAATCCAGCAATGTCAATTATATTATCCTAACTTTAGTTTGAGTTATTATTTATTACAAAAAGTTAAGTATTCTGGTTTTCCACATCTCCTTGGGACGGTTGGTGGGGTGGGGAGGGAGGGACAACCGACCATCTGTTCAGCTGAAGAATATTTTTTTTTATTAACTGAAGATATTTGTTTGACTCATAAATTATAATTACCGGTCAGAATATAATTTACATTGCTGGAATTCTTATAATTTGATGATCATTTTGAATATAAACATCATATATTTTGCATTAGACATAAAATTAGATAAAATGTTTAATCTGAGTAAGTATGTTATCTTTTGTGCAAAATATATGACGTTTATATTCAAAATATTCTGGTCTTACAGAATCAGCAATGTCAATTATATTATCCTAACTATCAGGTATTATTTAATACAAAATGTTAAAATTTATTTTTCACCCATCTTTCTCTTGGTGGGGGGTGGGGAGGGAGGTTGGGACTGACCACGCGGTTGGAAGAAGCAAGGTGAGGTACTTTGATTGACAGATAGTGTTGTGAAGATTATTTTTCTATTAGAAGATATTTGTTTTAGCTCATAAAATTCATACAAATTACCAGGCCAGAATATAATTTACATTGCTGGAATTCTTATAATTTGTTGATCATTTTGAATATAAACATCATATATTTTGCATTAGACATACAAATTTAGATAAAAATTTTTTCTGAGTAACTATGTTATCTTTTGTGCAAAATATATGACATTTATATTCAAAATATTCCTGGTCTTACAAGGAATCCAGCAATGTCAATTATATTATCCTAACTTTAGTTTGAGGTATTATTTATTTAAATTTAGTGGTTTTCCCCAAAAATTTCTCAGAGAGGAAGAGCCAGTGTAGTGTGAGAGGGAGGAGTCGTGTCCATTATTTGAATGGACATTAACTCATGCGACTGTATTATTTCTCTTAAGTATTAATTGTGTGCATGTACCATCATAAAATTAAGATGTTATTTTTACTACAACATAGTTATGTGTCTTCAAAAAAGTGGAGTTTGAGGTCGGGCCGGTTTCTATTGGAATTAATCCCATGTTCTGTTGTTCACTTAACTGATCACTTAACACGAAACCTCTGTTCTATTGACTCACAAGTTAAGGGTACAACTGTATATATATATATATATATATATATATATATATATATATATATATATATATATATATATATATATATATATATATATATATATATATATATATATATATATATATATATATATATATATATATATATATATATATATATATATATATATATATATATATATATATATATATATATATATATATATATATATATATATACACAGTCATGCGCCGGTTAATGTCCTAGATACGTTCTTGGAAACGTGACGTTAACCGAAATGGACTTTGTCCGATCATCACATAAACTTTGTCTTTATACTTATGTGTATGTGGAATACTATATACCTACATATACACTCTTACTCTTAAATCACTACTGTAATGTGATACAGGTGATTAATTTTTATTTCTTGTGCAAAATACATGATGTTTATATTCAAATTATTCACTGTCTTACAAGGATTCCAGCAATGCTGGGTAGGTTGGGGGAGAGGGAGGGAGGGGGTGGGGAGCAGGAGGTGAGGTGGTACGTTTGACAGTTGGCGCCCAATGTCTAACGCGTGTTTATTTATCAGTTCTTAAGTGACTAAGCTTCTGTCTTATAGAAAGCCAGTGAAATTTACATTGCTGGGATTCTTGTAAGATGTTGATTATTTTAAATATAAACAACCTATAATTCGCACTAGACAACAATTTTAGTACCGTAATCAAATTAGTACATGTGCACTCCAGCTTTGCACTAAGGTCATTTATTTCTTTTACGTTTCTTTTAGTATGGTGTGTGCATGTAAATGGATGAAAATAAATGAAGAAATTTATGTAAATCTACTCAAAAATACAGTTGAAAAACTTTATATTATAAAATGTACTACAATATTGTACGCTAATGTACTACAATTTTTATCTCCTGAGCAAAATATATGACTTTTATATTTAAATTAATCTCTGTCTTGCAAGGATTTCAGCAATGCAAATTATATTCTCCTATAGTCTGAGATATTATATGAAAAACTTAATGCCTAAAACCCTGGCTTGGGCAGATGGGGGAGAGCGAGGGGGGGGGGGAGCTGGTATGAAACACGAGGTACCATATATATATGGTGAGGTCGTTGATTATATGTTCAAAGTCCGCGTGTTATATGGACTAAAAATGAAGTATATATATGGTACCTCGTGTTTCATACCAGCTGGATTCGGTAAAATGCTCCTGACACCACATACGAGGCACGGGCAGTTCCCAATGAGGTTCACGGCGCCATCAGCTCGATGAACATGCTTTGTGTGAAATATAACAGAGCCTAGGACTGTTTTTAGTGTCCTTGTGGGTTGGTCGGTAGCGTTCCCTAGTCCCACCCAGTAGGTCGAGGGTTCGAATCCTGGCTGGTGAGGTCTTTGATTATATATATATATATATATATATATATATATATATATATATATATATATATATATATATATATATATATATATATATATATATATATATATATACAACATTAGCCCATCGCGGATTCTCTACAATCAACACTACCTGGGATTGAACCCACAGCCCACTAACCCATGACCGTGACGAAGTAACCGCTGACCACCAGGATACTAAAAGCAGTCCTAGACTTTGCTATATTTCACACAAAGCCTGTTCAATGAGCTTATGGCCATGAACCTCTAATGGGGACTACCTGACACGAGGTGGTCAGGAGTAGCTTTTTAGTATCCTGGTGGTCCAGCGGTTAGCGTTCCCTGGTCACAGTCATGGGCTAGTGGGCCGTGGGTTCGAATCCTGGCGGGTTGAGGTGTTGATTGTATGTAGAAGTCCGCGTGCTATTGGGCTAATGAAATATATATGGATCCTCGTGTTTCGAAGCCGGATTTGGTAAAATGTTACTCTGACCACCTACGTGATACGGGTAGTCCCCATTAGAGGTTCACGGAGCCATAAGCTCGTTGAACAGGCTTTGTGTGAAATATAACAAAGTTTAGGACTGCTTTTAGTATCCTGGTGGTCCAGCGGTTAGCGTTCCCCGGTCACAGTCATGGGCTAGTGGGCCGTGGGTTCGAATCCTGGCGGGTTGGGGTGTTGATTGTGTTACGAACCACGCCATCAATTGTCATGATCTACCTACCCAGCACTACGAACCACGCCATCTATGGTCATGATCTACCTACCCAGAACCACGAGCAACGCCATCTAGGGACAAAACCCGAGTATGACTAGTCTTAGTTACCACTCCGGGGTTTCCCTTCTCCATATCCTGGTTGTTGCGTCACCTCCTCCAAGTCTTCCTCATCAGCTCCAGATCGAGGAGAGTTCAGTTCACTCTGGGAAGTGACCACACTAGGATCACCTATCCTGGAAACCTACGGCACAGTGACTACCTACCATCTTCTTCAATACTCAGCCTTACTTGTCAGCCATCTCAGCACTGCACTTGAGTATTTTGTAATCTTATATTGCCTCCCACCTCCACTTGCTTCTGTTTGTTATATGTTGTATAAATATCTATATACTGTTAAGTCAATGTTGCGTATGTTTAGGTTAAGTATGGTTAAGGGTAAATTATAGAAAGCTGAATATTTTGTTAAGGAATTTATGGTACTTTATTATACACAACAAAAAACTCGCATCCTTTGTCTACCCTTTTATAGTCCGATTGTCTTTGTTTTTTTATTGTTGTTGTCTGTTGGGATCTGGGTAGACTTTTAGCTATATTCTAAATCCCCAACTCGTAACAGTTGTGTATATATATATATATATATATATATATATATATATATATATATATATATATATATATATATATATATATATATATATATATATATATATATATATATATATATATATATATATATATACAGTATATATATTAGATGTTTTAATTGCCTGTATGTTGGCCTGGCGTGTTAATGCTAGGCATTTACATACCTAGGTATAAAGCTAGGCGTTGCATTCTGAACTATATCACAAAACTCTTATTTTTATTTTATTTTTATTTTTATTTTATTTATTTATTTTGTTTTATTTATTTTTTTTTTTTTTGGCATATGCTATACTATCAAAATACTGTTACGTAAATTATCTCTACTGTATTATCACCAGGGGTAGCTGGACGGATTCCACGTCTCGCAGCCCATGATACTGTACACAATCGTACAGTCAATATCAAGGGTGGCCCTAATAGTAACCTAAGCTGGGATCGTGCTGTTGAACTTTTCAACCAGGAGTTACTGCGTGAGTATGATGTACTAATTTCAAGGCTTTTATTTATTCTTAAAATTAATATTCTCTCTCTCTCTCTCTTAACACACTTGTGCACCGCTGTATTTGTAACATCATCCCATCCCATGCATGGGGTTAGTTGTGACCCTTTGGAACAGAAGAGCTGCACTCTATCTTCTTTCCTTCTGATTTATTTTTCTTATGGAACAATTACTCTATGTAAAATTGGTTGGTCTTTCACATGAATAGAGCCAATTGACAATTTTAAGCATCATTTTTGTACTCAGCACCCCCAAATTAGTAAAGATTGACTACTCTCATTTCTGAAGTATATTGGCTGTAGACCAGAGATAATTCATTAATTCTCTCTGCAGCTGTATTTCTTGAAAGGCTAATGTTTGCAAATTCTTGACGTTTTTCTCGGCCAATATCTTCTGAAGCCGTCATCATACATTTCTTTATTAAGTTCCCTTCAGAAAAAGGCTTCGATGACAGCTATTTCATGGGCAATCCTGTAACTTGCCTTAACTGCAGCATCACTGACTTGATGAACACTCTTAAACAATGACTGCTCTGATTCTTTAACTTGTCTTCACATAACTTGCCTCTACAGTATATGTATTATACTTCTGAGCATGATTAGTGTCATAATCCCCTCGAACGTTGTAATCTTTGGCAATAGCTACCTGTTGCTTATAAATCAAACATGTCGGTTTTTCATTCATTTCAACAAAAAATTAAAAAAAATTCCACTTTTCCTGTACCACCCGACTCGCGTCATTAATTGTTCTTTACTTTGATAACGTGATTATGGTTTTAAAAGTATAAACAATGGACACTGCTTCTGATATTTGCAAAGCTCCAACTGCCTTGAGCGACTTTGCAGGACTAGTACCCGTGTGACGGCCCAAGTGAGAACCCGCCACATCAGAGCTATCACATCTAATACCGGTATGTGGCCAGTGGTCGACCCGCCTCGCAACTCAAACAGTGGCATGTTTAGAACCACAATTAACCATTAAAACTATCTCTAATTGCACTGAGTATTTTATTCTAGCAAACACCAAAAAATTTTATTCAGCTAAGGGAAACTCCCACTAGTCAAAGGGCTAACAACGCACTTAGCAGGCTGTTGCTCTAGCACCAGATACTTACTGGGCTGAGATTCACAAAACATCCTACAAGCACTTGCCTTTGGACAGATTCAGCAGAATAGATAGAGTCAATAGGCTATAAAGTATTATCCGATACAAATAGTCTTAACTTTTTACTTCAAGTGCAACTGTCTTAGGCTCTTAGCTGCTCAAAGTGCAGCTGGAGCAGCCAGTAGGCCGTGGGCCACATGTAAGAGGGTATCTGGCCACATGCTGCCCACGGGCCTCATGTTTGACACCCCTGACGTAGGTAGCATGTCAGTAAGTGCTTTCCATATGTACAGTTGGCTCCACTCCTGACTTTACCACTTAGCATTGCCAATCCTCTCTCTCTCCCTCAGGTCTGAACCCCAAGCACTGAACTCTGAATTAGAAGCATTCGCGCACTAAACAAGAGGGAGGCGGGTAGTTGTCTTTATGTGGGGAGAGACGGGGTACTGAGTGTGATGAAGGAAAGTATACAGTATCTCAGTTGGGAAGAATACAATGCAGAATTATGCTTTGATAATACCGATGGGTAGCCTCAGGATGAAAGAGGGATGAATTCATGTTCTAAGTAAGATGTTCCTTAGCAAAAGGGGGAATTTATGAGCAAAAGGATTATGAATATGTTTGAATCTATATCTTGTAGAAGCAGTGAAGTTTTGTTTAACCCCTAGACTATGAGATGGAACTTCCCCAGCTGAATGAAATCGTTCGGCGGTAGCCAGAATAAAATAGATAAAAATACGTTGTACTGAAGGGATTAATTAGCAATCAAACCAATCAGGAAGTGAGCAACACATATACTGTACAGTCAACCCTCACTTTACGCGGTTAATGTAACCCGCAGGGTCCCGCGGAAAGTGAGGAACGTGTAAAGTGAATAACATAACATATGGGATTACAGTATTACCCCGCCTAACGCGGTTTCACTTAACGCGTTTTATCATATACGCGGTGCCTCGCCAGAGCTGAACTTTCACTTAACACGGATTTTTTTCACATATACGCAGTGAGTGTCCGGCTCGAGACGCTATTTTTAGATTTGCCCCACCCGCCACCCTGCCTGACTGCCTGTTTTAGCTCATAAAATTCATACAAATTACCCGGCCAGAATATAATTTACATTGCTGGAATTCTTATAATTTGGTGATCATTTTGAATATAAACATCATATATTTTGCATTAGACATACAAATTTTAGATAAAATTTTTTATCTGAGTAACTATGTTATCTTTTGTGCAAAATATATGACATTTATTTTCAAAATATTCCTGGTCTTACAAGGAATCCAGCAATGTCAATTATATTATCCTAACTTTAGTTTGAGGTATTATTTATTACAAAAAAGTTAAGTATTCTGGTTTTCCCACACATCTCCTTGGGACGGTTGGTGGGGGGTGGGGGGGAGGGAGGGACCAACCGACCATCTGTTACCCTGTGAAGAATATATATTTTTTTTTATTAACTGAAGATATTTGTTTTAGCTCATAAAATTCATACAAATTACCCGGTCAGAATATAATTTACATTGCTGGAATTCTTATAATTTGATGATCATTTTGAATGTAAACATCATATATTTTGCATTAGACATACAAATTTTAGATAAAATGTTTTCTGAGTAAATATGTTATCTTTTGTGCAAAATATATGACATTTACATTCAAAATATTCCTGGTCTTACAAGGAATCCAGCAATGTCAATTATATTATCCTAACTTTAATCTGAGGTATTATTTAATACAAAATGTTAAAATTTATTTTTTTCACCCCACATCTCTTGAAGGGAGGATTGGTGGGGGGTGGGGGGGAGGGTTGGGACTGACCGCACGGTTGGAAGAGGGGGGAGGCAAGGTGGGGTACTTTGATTGACAGATAGTGTCGTGAAGATTATTTTTTTTTATTATTAACTGAAGATATTTGTTTTAGCTCATAAAATTCATACAAATTACCGGTCAGAATATAATTTACATTGCTGGAATTCTTATAATTTGGTGATCATTTTGAATATAAACATCATATATTTTGCATTAGACATACAAATTTTAGATAAAAATTTTTCTCTGGGTAACTATGTTATCTTTTGTGCAAAATATATGACATTTATATTCAAAATATTCCTGGTCTTACAAGGAATCCAGCAATGTCAATTGTATTATCCTAACTTTAGTTTGAGGTATTATTTATTAAAATTTAGTGGTTTTCCCCCAAAAATTTCTCAGAGAGGGAAGAGCCAGCAGTGTATTGTGAGAAGAGGGGAGGGAGTTGAGTCCATTATTTGAATGGACATTAACTTGGCGACTGTATTTCTCTATTTCTCTTAAGTATTAATTGTGTGCATGTACCATCATAAAATTAAAATGTTATTTTTACTACAACATAGTTATGTGTCTTCAAAAAGTGGAGTTTGGGGGTCGGGCCGGTTTCTATTGGAATTAATCCCATATGTTCTGTTGTTCACTTAACGCGGATTTCACTTAACACGGGACTCTCTGGGTTCTATTGACCGCGTTAAGTGGGGTACAACTGTAATTGAACTAGAGTCCGGGCCGACCCCCAAACTCCACTTTTTGACGACACACAACTATGTTGTAGTAAAAATTTTATCTTAACTTTATGATGGCATGCACAAACAAGAAATATAGAAGAGGTTAGGTAAGGAAAAACAAAGGTTAAGTTAGGAAAAATAAAGGTTAGGTTAGGAAAACTAAAAGTTAGGTTGAACACTTACGTTAGTAGAAGAGATGGGTTGGCATACGGGGATGGAGGCTGGTTCCGAGGCAGAGGGCAGATGACTGGCCCTCAGGTGAATCACCATTACTAGGTGCATCACCATCACTGTCACTTACAGTTGTCAGGGCTTCCCTGACAAATCCCTCAAAGTCATCTTCACTGTCACTATCACTGGATTGGGCTGGCTGTGGTGGGTTGCGGGCGAAGAAATCTGTTATGCTTTGCTGACGGCTGGTGTTGATGTTGTCGTGATACACCTTGATGTAGGGCTCCATAGTCTGCAACAGCTGGGTAGTGAAGATTTCATACCTGTTTGCGTCAGGGTCGTCGGAAAGGAGGAGCTTGGCTTTCTCGATACACTCGATGGCACCCCTAACATTACTATGGGATAAGCGGTGTTCTTCTTGGGATGACGCACCACCTGCCTCTTCACTGACGTCGTCGTCATCATGTACCATCTCCTCAGTAGTCACATCAGGTTCCATGATCACCTCCATGATGTCGTCGTTGGTGGTCTCGGAGAAGCCTGCAACTGTAACACTCTGCGCAGCTTCTCTGGCAAGGTCCACTGCTACTGCAACAGTCTGAACCTCACCAGTCACAGATTGACTCCTCCTCTCACCTGGTATGCCATGCAACACATGTCTCCATGCGTGACGAATTGTAGCAATAGACAGCTGATCCCATGCCTCCACCAAGAAGTCCACAGCTTTCTTGATATTAAATACTCTCCAGAATTGTTTGAACAGTATTTTTTGCTGTGCCAACTGTTGATCCTCATCTTCTTCGCTCTTGCTATCGGTGGTGGTGTCACTCAGGTTATGCAACTCTTCCCTGGTGTTGGTGTAGTCGTTCAGGAGCTGGAACTTTTTTGTTGAGAATGCAGCTTTTACATTGCAGATTAACTCTTGGTCCATGGGCTGTAATATAGACGTAGTGTTGGGAGGAAGGAAGACCACTTTTACGTTGGGGTGACGATCTAACAGTAGGGGCGAGTGTCTTGGTGCGTTGTCCAGCAGCAACAAAATATTGAATGGCACATTCTGTCGCTCACAGAATTTCTTTACATCGGGAACAAAACAGTCATCAAACCAGGAGAGGGACAGTGTAGAGAACATCCACGCCTTACGTGCGGTCAGCCAGTGGACATTTAGCTTGGTCATGTCCATGGTTTTGTAGGCTTGCGGCTTGCGTGCTGTGTGGATCACCGATAACTTGAGCTTACAGGCACCTGAGGCATTGGTGGTAAACAGGACGGTGATGCGTTCCTTCTGCATCTTCCGGCCCCGAATCTTGCTGGCATTCTTTACAACGAAGGACTTGGAAGTTAGCTTTTTCCAGAAAAGACCAGATTCGTCCATGTTAAACACCTGGTCGTCACTGTACTGTCCTTCCTCCATAATCTCACGTAAAAACGGAGGAAATTTCCAAGCCGCAGCACGGTCAGCACTCGCTTCTTCACCACCAATGTTTATATTGGTGATCTTGTTCCGGATCTTAAACCTCTGTAACCACCCAGAGGAAGCATTAAAGGGTTTGGGCTCTGTAATTCCCATCTTTCGTGCCACTGCATTGTACAGTTCACGTTCGTACTCCTTAACAGAGCGCGTGTCGACCGCCATGTTCCGTCGCGCCTGACACACCAAGTACCTCACAAGTAATTTTTCTGTCTTGAGAAGCACCTGGTTGTGAAAATACTTGATCATAGAAGCACCTGTAGACTTTTTGATCTTCATGTGCTCCTTTATCTTGGCTGCATCCTTCTTTATTGTTTGAATCGTAGATTCATTCACACCATGCTGGTGCGCCAAATCAACCTGCCTTGTTCCTTTCTCCAACTCTTGGATGATGGTATACTTCACCTCGTAGCTTAAGGAATGTCGTGTCTTCTTTGGCTTAGTGCCGCTGGGTCCAGGTAAGGAAAGGTTTCTCTCTGGGGGCGGTGGTCCGGCGGAAGCCATTTTACAGAACAATGGATACACGTTTACACGGTCTGGCCTGGAGGGTTGAAACTGCCGCGGCTAGGTCAAGCATCGTCTTTCCTCCCTCCCTCCCTCCCCCGGGTGGACACGTCATAATACTTTAAGCCAATTACAGCTAGCAGCAGAGGGGGGGTAGGGATGCATGGCCAATCACAGTCCAATACGGCATATGACGTCAGTGATAACACAACAGAGACATGCACTGCGCAACCTTACAGCGCGGCTTGCCCAGGCGGAGGGAGGAGGCGGGAGCAGGCGGGTGGGGCGAATCTAAAAATAGCGTCTCGAGCCGGACACTCGCCGCGTATACGTGGAAAAAACCTGCGTTAAGTGAAAGTTCGGCTCTGGCGAGGCACCGCGTATATGGTAAATCGCGCTAAGCGAAACCGCGTTAAGCGGGGTATTACTGTATTTATATTTCTTACCTTCCATAAATCCTCTCTTGTTCTCGCTTTCCAGCAGTGTTATTGTTTTCTTTTTTTTATCATTTTAATTACCATCTTACTATTTATTCAACCTTCCCAATTATACTCACCTGACTGATTCTTTTGTAATTTAAGATTATTTCTATATTCTTTTGATCATAGACTTTTATGTAAAGAATTTTTAAGTTACTTCCTCCATTCACAGGAATGCCAGAACCAGCAAAGAAAAGAAAGGATTCCATTATACCAAAGAAAGCTTGTGGTTGTTGGATACATTCTGTCAATGAAGCTTGGACAAAGGATATTTGCAATAAACCTGACCATAAGAAGAAGAACAAAGCAGAGCTGATTAGGGAATATTTATCCTACTTAAACTCACTAAACTTCCTCCGGAAAGTGCCTGGTCGCAAACTGTACAAGGATATTAACTATACACACGTTATTAGTATCAAGAAACCTGATGAATTTGTTAAGACACTGAAGGAATTATGTGACAAAGATGTCTCTAGACAAATGAATGAAAGGGAAAATGACGTTTTAGAGTAATAAACGTCAGCCTTCTCTTCTACATTAAATGAGTAAGATTTATTTATCTCTTGATTTATATATTGATTGGTGCTTCAACCTATGGATATGTTTTTTCTCTTATTTAGAGTTGTTTAATAAAAAGTGTCAAATAACACAAATTAGGCAATACAGTACAGTATTAGAAGTATTTTATGAACTGTAATGGAAATATCTTTTGCTGTTTCTTCATGAGAAATATTTTGTTCACTAAGAAATGTTTTTTTTATATAACTGTGCCATTGGACTGGAACTCAGGAAGAATTTTATTTTAATATTAGACATTATATTTGAAATGTGTTCAGGATGAGGACAAAGGAACTTCAGTTTTCACCACCTAAACAGGTTCTCAATGGTAAAGTTGAGTTTATGTGATGTAACATCCAATTTTTTTTTATAAAAATAGGTCACTATTTTATTACCTTAGTAATATTTCAGTTCCAGGTCTTGTTAATACAGTATAGAGAAGCTCAGTAGTGAACTGCTCTAGGCTGACAATCCTGTATTCCTCTGACTTTAGGCACTGGAATATCGATGGAAATCTGAACCCATTGATGCCCCCATGTGAGGGTTTTGTTGATGGAGCTCTAAACTTAGGGACATCCTTGTGTTAGGGCTCCATTGACAGGGATATACCTGGGGTATCGGGCTCTGTAGTGTAGACAGAGCCCTAAATCTATCAACTCCTCAGTGTTAGGGATCTGTTAAAGGAGCCATGGCCATTTCCATGATTATATTATATTGTGAGAACCTCAAGTGCAACTTGCAAAAATTTCCATTAATACTATTGTCCATACAGTCATTTTCCTGGAACTAACTAATATCTTTTGCTTTCCCTTCAATTAGGTTTCAGCCATTGGTCTCCTGGGTTGTAACTGTGCAATACCCATTACATCACTTTGTTCAGAAATGGAATTTTCATTTCTTGAAGTTAAAAACCAGTGACATTTAATAATTCATATACAGGTAACAGTGAATTTCATACAGGATACAGTATCATGTTGCACATGTTACATGTACAGTAGCTAAAAAACAGTATCTGACATGGTGGGTCCGATGACTTCTGGAATTATACGTACAACTCGTGATGTCTCGGGAGGGTTGGTATGCGTGTCTTCACCCACCTCCATTCAGTATGCAACACGGGGTGAGTTGGCATATAGGAATAAAATAAATGATTAAGTGATTACTAACACATAATATAAGTAGACAAAATGCATATCCCAATACCTGTCGTCCGTGGTCTCATATTGTTTCTCACAAAGTATGCGCAGATAATTTTTTTAGCTACTGTGCAATAATTTTTCTCAATGAATTGCTGCAACATCAAATCATAGTGAACACTTGCAGAGTTTCATTTTCTGTCAAAAAGGAAAATTCCAGTAATATCCTCTTTCTCTTCTGAATCCGCATTTGCTTCTACAAGAACATTGTTTTATAATTTTAGTATCTGTTTCCTTAAATATCAACAAGGTATTAATAATCTTGAATTATCAACTTCACAAAGTTAGCCAAGGTATACAGGGTATTAATTTTCCCCTTATGACATTACAATACTTGTTACCATGAAGGATTAACCCAAAGAGTTTGGGATACAGTAATTCCTACTGATATAATGTGGTGCTGTAACTGGATCTGGTTAACATTGTGTTAAATCCAAATTGTTTTGTATTTTCCCCTAGAAACCATGTTATAATATCTAACTTGACCTGAGAATTTTCCAAAAGACTTCCCTTCCCTGAGTCCGCTGAGTGGTTGTTTTGTCTGGCAAACCACTTCCAGCACATCATAACCATCCACAAATCATCCCTGATGTAGCTACATCGGGGGACATACACATCTTCCTCTTTTGTTTTCTTCAGAAGTCTTTATGGTGCAGATGATGGGCTCATTCACTCCATACTCACAGGTAAAAATACTCATATGTCAAGCTATTTTAGTATAAGTTTTGATAAGTTATGTTAGTTTTCTGACTAAATGGACTCAAGTCTTGATGGGACTCATTGCCTGTCCAAAGGGGTCCCTGTCTTATTGGGTGTGTACACACACACACACACACACACACACACACACACACACACACACACACAGTAAAATATATTTGCACTTAAAATGCATTTTTTAGTTACAGTATGCAAAATAAAATATCACAGATACACTAATATAGTTGCACATGAAAAAAAAATGAAGAAATGGATAATGTGTGCAGGAAATCCATCTCCCATACAAGGCAATTTCCTTAAACATAGTATTTCTTTGTGCATAATGGTTTTCTTGTACAGTTACAGCCTCTACTTGTTCTGAGGCTTTGGGAAGTGTTAATTTCAAGTATCTTTTTATTGCATTACCTTGAAGTGTTACAAAAAATTGTCCTGAGTTATGTGAAAACACATTAAATATTGTTGTGTTTTATCCAGGGATTACTATAGACATTTTAGTGGTATTTTCTGAATTTTAAGTCGTGGTACTGTAGTGAGTTTGATTTCTTGACAAGTTGGTTTTGCAGAATTAAAGTTTTCCTACAAGTGTATCCTGCGCTTATGGTTCGAAGTTCTACGTATCCTCATTGTTTTGTGTACAATTGTATGCATTTAAAATATGGTTTCTACTTGCAAGAATAATGAGTTGTATATTTAATAATAAACTAAAGAAAGAAGGAACTTAATGGTTGATACTAATAAAAGTAAGGGGTTAGTGTTTCAAAGAAGAGTCATTGTGAGATATGGTTAAAATTAGAGGATTTGGATGGTATCCATTGTTTCAAGTTTTTGGAAATTACTTCTGACAGATGGAGGAAAGGATATTAAGGCTTCAGAGTATTAAAAGGCAGAGTAAGTGGCAGGAGCTTCAAAGAGAGTAATGAGGGTTGAATGTGACAGGGTCTTAAATCCACAGTTCTTAATGTTCTAATGTATGGGAGGGAAGCAGTTTGTGAAATTATATTGCAATACAAGAATGATGAATAGTGTAAGTACCCTGTAGTGAAAATTTTTTAAGCTAGTAGATTGAGGATGAGAGGGGTATGTTAAATATTGAAGCTGTGGGTAAAAATGAAGGATGGAGTGCTAAGATGATTTGGATTCAATATATGAAAATTTTGGATAGGTATATAATGATGATGAATAAATAAATATAGATACTTAAGAGGGTTTACATTAATAAGGCAAATGGAAAGAGGAGTGGTAGCTCTAGAATGTGGATGAAGGTTGTTGGTGCCCAGGGGTGTTATGCAAGGATTAGAAATCTTAGAGGAGACTGGGCATGCCATCCTTCTGGAAAGTAACATATGGTGTACTTGAAATTGGTAGATAAATAGCATTTAAAGACACATGGAATTACACATGTTTATTCTCAATTCTTTCTATTGGGATTAATCAGTAACTGATTATCAAAATTGTGGCTGTCCAGTCGGGATCTTCTAGGCCTAAATATAAACCCAGCATGACTAAACAGACGTTCACAAGCAGTAGATGCAGGTAGTGGGGTGTTAAGTTTGAGAGATAAGTCACCTAATGTCAAGAAAGACCTCAGTGGCTTCATTCCATCCCCTGGGCATGCCAAGTAGTTATCAAGCTCCTTCAGTTGAGGAGTTTGTGGATGATTGTTGCTTCTGTAGCACTGAACAAGGAAATGGCAGCTTGGGCGCTTAAACTCTGTGTTCGTCGCTTCAGACGCTTGGGTACATAGAAGAAAGGATACAAAAGAATTCTTGTGATCGGTCCAGACGTGAAGAACATTTGTGATTGGTTAGCTTCCAAGTTTGTCATGTGATTGGATATTTAAAACTATTGTTTTTGGCATGTAACGAGTAATGATTTTTGTTTATTTAATTGTATTGTAGTAAAAATATTAGAAAGCAATACTTAAGTAAAAGTACTGAAAATTTTGATTTCTTTTACAAAGTAAATACAGTACCCAAAAATATTACTGGGTACTTGAGAGAGTACTCAAGTAAATTTACTTTCTTACTTTACAAATCGGGTTAATATAGCTTGCTGTCCATCAATCAACTCAATCTTCTCCCAACAAAATGGTTTGAACACTGGCTCCAGCCTTGTAAGAATGAGAGGAGTAAAGTATAATAGAAAATAAATTTGCTCATAGTAACAAGACAAATAATTATAGGTTAGTTTATTAAATAGTCAACTACTTATGGTTATACTACCTTGTAAGTAATTACTGGATATTGTTTTCAACAGGGAAGCATTTCTTTTCTAGGACCTTGTTTCATCAATTGAGAAATCTCTAATCTCACTGCCATCCCTGTACTGATATACTATACTGATATTTTTTTTTCAACATTTCTATATCGTCATAACTTCCTACTATTTTTATCTATAGGAGTTTCAATGCTTTGTTCATCCTTGGCAGTGTCTTGAGTGTGACCCTATTTGCCATTGCAATAAATTGGGTAGCAGCATCGGTTCCAGGTGGTGTATCAATCTCATTGTATATAGACGACTTGGCCATTTGGTATGCAGCTTTCCACATGTCAGTGGCTGAACATCACCTGCAACTTGCACTAGACAAGATTTCACATTGGACCACAGAGCATAGTTTCAGATTTTCTCCCTTGACAACTGTTGCCATGCATTTCTGCCACCTTCGAGGTGTTCACCCAGATCCCGATCTACAGCTCTATGGTCATTGTGTGCAGTGTATCAGAGACCCGTTTCCTGGGCATTCTTTACAACAACTGGCTTACATGGCAGCCACATATTCATTACCCCAAAGTCTTGTAAGTGTGCTTTTAAGTTATTGAGAGTCTTGGGGCACGCGTCATGGGGATGAGTGCCCCTAGTCTCGGAGATCTTCATAGTAAGTACCTTTCCCAATGCCGGGGGGAGACGTCTCTCTCTCTCCTCTCTCTCTCTCTCTCTCTCTCTCTCTCTCTCTCTCTCTCTCTCTCTCTCTCTCTCTCTCTCTCTCTCTCTCTCTCTCTCTCTCTCTCTCTCTCTCTCTCTCTCTCTCTCTCTCTCTCTCTCTCTCTCTCTCTCTCTCTCTCTCTCTCTCTCTCTCTCTCTCCTCTCTCTCTCTCTCTCTCTCTCTCTCTCTCTCTCTCTCTCTCTCTCTCTCTCTCTCTCTCTCTCTCTCTCTCTCTCTCTCTCTCTCTCTCTCTCTCTCTCTCTCTCTCTCTCTCTCTCTCTCTCTCTCTCTCTCTCTCTCTCTCTCTCTCTCTCTCTCTCTCTCTCTCTCTCTCTCTCTCTCTCTCTCTCTCTCTCTCTCTCTCTCTCTCTCTCTCTCTCTCTCTCTCTCTCTCTCTCTCTCTCTCTCTCTCTCTCTCTCTCTCTCTCTCTCCTCTCTCTCTCTCTCTCTCTCTCTCTCTCTCTCTCTCTCTCTCTCTCTCTCTCTCTCTCTCTCTCTCTCTCTCTCTCTCTCTCTCTCTCTCTCTCTCTCTCTCTCTCTCTCTCTCTCTCTCTCTCTCTCTCTCTCTCTCTCTCTCTCTCTCTCTCTCTCTCTCTCTCTCTCTCTCTCTCTCTCTCTCTCTCTCTCTCTCTCTCTCTCTCTCTCTCTCTCTCTCTCTCTCTCTCTCTCTCTCTCTCTCTCTCTCTCTCTCTCTCTCTCTCTCTCTCTCTCTCTCTCTCTCTCTCTCTCTCTCTCTCTCTCTCTCTCTCTCTCTCTCTCTCTCTCTCTCTCTCTCTCTCTCTCTCTCTCTCTCTCTCTCTCTCTCTCTCTCTCTCTCTCTCTCTCTCTCTCTCTCTCTCTCTCTCTCTCTCTCTCTCTCTCTCTCTCTCTCTCTCTCTCTCTCTCTCTCTCTCTCTCTCTCTCTCTCTCTCTCTCTCTCTCTCTCTCTCTCTCTCTCTCTCTCTCTCTCTCTCTCTCTCTCTCTCTCTCTCTCTCTCTCTCTCTCTCTCTCTCTCTCTCTCTCTCTCTCTCTCTCTCTCTCTCTCTCTCTCTCTCTCTCTCTCTCTCTCTCTCTCTCTCTCTCTCAAGATGGACTGAGATTTATTATTTTATTGCAAGTTTGGGTGTGGCATGAATTTGTCAATTCTGCTTTAACGTACAGTATTTGTTTGTTACTCCAAAACTAGGAAACGGCATCATTAAGTCATATACAGGAGGAATGTGTGAACATCCTTTAATGTGCTTGAAAACAGAGTGATTGCAAAGAATTTTGCCTTGTACTGCACAAGTCTTTTAAGAAGTTTTGCTGCTATTTTGTTAGAAAAGAGACACTGGAATATAAATCAGAATAGTGGTTATGTCCAAACTTAAATAACTGTCAGTCACTAGTTTCCTTTGATTTTTTATATGTTGTGCAAGTTTGTGTGTATCATCTCTAAGTCTTCATGCTATTAAACTGTGTGTTCATTAGTCTTAGGATGAGTGGGAATGCAGCTGGAAGATAATGTGAAGACACTAAACTAGTGCAAGGTACATCCACTCAGGATTGTGAGTGAGCTTCTTGAATCATACTCTAATTTTAGTGTATTTTTATAAAATGCTCTGTGGATTATTGTGAATATGAAGATAAGCTTTTATGATAACCCTTATGCTGCTAAAATTACAAGTTCTCTTTAAGTGTGATATACAGAATAGCTTTAAGACTTTTCTCATATGCTATTTCCCCAGTTAGAGATTTCATCAGTATTACTCAACCATGATGAGGTCAGAGCTTAGGTGTTAACTACATACTTAGTACCTCACATTGATATTACTGACTCTTACTGGGCAACACTTTAAGAGTGTTTTATATATTTTTGTATGTTTCACTCGGTGCAATACAGTTACTGGGTATTATTTGTATATACTGTACAGTGGTCCCTCGGTTAACGAACACAATTCGTTCCATAGTCGTTCATTAACCGAATCCATTGTTTCAATGGGTTATTGGGTAATTGGTTCCAGCTCACAGAAAAGTACATACAAATTTAAAAAAAAGTGCAGTAAAGTACACTTACTTTGAGGTGTGTATGTAGAAGGTTCCTGGTTGATGATGATGATGGGAATTAGAAGTGGGGGTGGAGGAGAAGGGAGAAGAGAAGGAAGTGGGGATAGAGGAGAAATCACCTTTCAGGGGACCCATGCTTGATGCAGTAATTTCACCAATAAAATTTTAAGTTCACTCGGTGTAAATCAAGATTATTTTATTTAAATCAACACTGCACTGCGCTATATATTATCAATATGTTAACTAAATTTCAGAATGACCAATAATTTTAATGTAAAAATGCAAAAAATATTCAAGACACCAACAAAATTGATGTTCACTCCACTGTAAACAAAGCCACACTGACACCTGGTGGGTGACTCAAGAGGCTGATGGGCGCACAAAAAACTAGTTCCCTGTACTGCATATATTATCAATATGTTAACTAAATTTTAAAATTATTAATAATTTTTATATAAAAAATGCACAAATATTAAGGAGCACAACTTTCTTGATATTTACTCCACTGGAAATGAATGTAAACATAGAACAGATTACTGAATTGGCAGACTAGCCCATCAGCTGATGCTCACAACAAAACGTGTTTGTTGTAAGGATTTCGTTAATCGAAGTTTTGTTCGTTAACCGAATTGAAGATCCTTATGGGAGGTAATTCGTTAACTGAAATTTCGTTAATCGGTTCGTTAACCGAGGGACCACTGTACCTTATAATGAATTTTGTTGTCATGAAATTGGATGATGTGTTCTTTTGCATGATTTAAGAC